TGACCAATTCATGATCATTACCCAAACGCGGAAGTTCAGGACGATTGGCAGAAAACGTCTTGTACTTTATAAACTGAAACCCAGAGTATTTTATGCACAATTTATAAATATTCATTCGTTCCTGATTGTTTAAACATCTGCGAAGAATGTGGGAATAATTGTTATTATTCTTTGCCCAGGTATGTATCAAATTTTCTTGATAATGAAAAGCAAAAGTATCAAATATGTTTGATACTAAGATCCGTAGGTCTTCGCCAAACCTCGTGTCAAACAAACGTCGAAATTCAAGGCTGTTTCGTCCTTTAAAAACGCTGTTATCGAGCGAATATCTTGAGATATGTTCATTATTTTGTATTGAAGTATGATTTTGTATCTGCGCGGGTTTACTTGTTTAATAGGTAGCTATAAATCAGCGACGATAAAAAATTTTAAGTACTATTTACAACACTAGCGGCCATTTATATGTGTTGTGTTGGACTGTCGGATATACAAACTCGACCTCGCCGAAATAAATGGCTTGTGAATCATCTAAAGCTACATTAGTGTTCTTCAACAATTGAAAATAAACGAATGATATTTGGTGAGAAAATTGAACTTAAAGTTTATGTGAATCAACATGATAATTTCTGTATCATGAGATGTACAATGTACTCCTTCACAGTCATGATTTCTTTTGTGTAACTTTTCTTTATGAATTATTAATGATTTTCACAAATATCATATCCTTAGAAGAATATATGGATAACACAAATTTATATGTTCAGTCCCTTCTGCTTTTTTACACATGCTCAATTTTTGGTATGGCACGGATTTGTACCCATGCGCCATATTTATCCTTGCTCAGTCTTTGTAATATATGGTACACTGAGGTGAAATCGCAAGGTTACTGGGCTATTTACCATTAACCATTTTTATCCATGCTCGGACTACATTTTTCAAAGGCCAAGCATGGATATAAAAGCGGTTCAGGTAGACAGAATTGAGCATATAATGTAAACAGGCCTTAATTAGTGACATTTTCAGTGAAGCAGTGAGGTATAAATTCAGTGTTTTTATTTATCTGGATACCTAAGTATTCATAGACTAGACCCAGACTCTCTTTCTGATGTTAAACTGTTAGTAGGGATGTGCCAGATACTGCTTTGCCGTATACCGGATTGTGCATACCAGATATACTAGTCTACTGGATAATAACCCGATACTGATGGTTGGTAACTTGGACGATACATCACTAACTTTTTTTCATAAATTAGTCCAATGTCTGTTGTAGTATGTGTCACAAGGACTGTCAGACAGTATACAGCAGAGAGTTTACCCGACAGAAAACTTAACTGTAATTTGGTTTCAATGTGTCACATAATATCATGCAAAGGTTCCAACCCTCCCGATTTGATCGGGAGGCTCCCGATTTCTTGGCAAATCTCCCGATTTATATTTAAACCTCCCGATTTTACGAATGAAAAGAAAAAAATGTTACTTTTTCTAAAAGAATCCTTGTAAAAGCTGTTCGCGCACGGTAAAAATGGTTGTCGCATTGACAAAAAAGCGGTATTTCGCCAAGAGGGGTGTTTTGTACGACAAAGTTTCGTAATATTTCGCATGAAAGGCAGAAATTTACAGTTGTTGTATTCACGAGTCTCGGAATCAAGAAATGGCGCTTCTGAAAGAAAGTTTAAATTTTCTACCCAGTCACACTAGAGGTCAACGTTTTCTTGCCTTTACCAGACCTCCCGATTTTTGGAGATGTCAAGTTGGAACGTCTGTATCATGGCTATGATAAACATCCAAATAGTGACATTTCAAAGTTGAATTAGCTTACTTTGATTCTAGTAACAGTATAAAGTTCATTCAAAGCATATCTTTTATGGTCAGGAAAAACATTTCGTGACACGATTCATCCTGCTAGCTGGGCTGGCCTGGCTCATATGAACAACCCCTTTAAGTGTGAGATTGTCATTATTAAGCGAGCAAAACTATTGTCTGGTGCGAGATCTGGTGTATTGAGAGGAGAATCTAAGCAATATATGTATATATATATATATACAGACCTGTCAAGTTTTGAAAAAATTTTTGCGGGAAGATAATGTCCTTAGGTAATTAGTGTCCACGAGGCACCACCATAGTTGGCGCGCCCTGGGAGAAATTTTGAAATTGAGTTTGCCAGATCGCCAGAAAATTGGCTTTCCGAGGTTTTTCTTCTGCCTTTTTTGAACCACAAACCTTATGTGTTCATGATATAAAAATATGAAATGTTAGCGTCACTCGATCCTCCTTTCCAAACTGCAAAAAATAGTGCTCCTCAGGCTCCCAGCTTTATGTCTCTTTTTGATATGTGATTGAGACACACATTTTCAAGACTTCTCAAGACTTCTGGGTACTGGCATAATTGGCAAAAAGAATGCATTGAACATTGTGCGAATGAATAGAAATGGGAGTAATTGCCCCACAGAAAGCAACCTCGAAAAGTTAAGTTTAAAAATGCGGGAGGAAAGTCACTTCATGCGTGATGCGTGAAAGCGAACAAAAATGCGGGAATTTCACGGTAATTGCGGGAAACTTGAATGGTCTGTATATATGACACAGTCAGACTACATCTGAACAGTCTGTACTCTGTGCCAGTGTAGTTAGGGAAGATAATAAAAAAGCTGCAGATTGATAGGGATACATTACTACCTGAAGAATACAAGGAGAACTTGGATGTTTAGAGTGAAGGCCTTTCCTTTGGACGTTAGTAGCAGGGGACATGTACAGTGACATGACAAAAAATTAACCAATCATGAGATGGATTTAGTCAAGACAAAGTGTAATTTTACTTTCAGGAGTTTTAAAATCTTACTTTTAGTTAGGTCGAAATTTTGCTAAAGTTTTTAGCGTTATGGCAGCACTAGCCTGTGTTCCAGTCCACTACACCGTTGTGGACTGGAACACAGGCTACGGCAGCACGTCCTTGCGATAGTAACTTCTAGTAGTTAGTTTGTAATGTATGGCAACAACAAGTGAACAAAGATCTAAGAGCTCGAAAACAAAGACAAAGAAAGCTGAGGCCAGGGTCAAACGTCGAACTTTTCATGCGCCGAACATAATGCAAATGAAGTGAAACAAAGAACTTAGCTCATTAACATTAGGTTCGGGCAATGAAACGTTCGCCCCTGGCCTGAGACCTACTAATTCTATGAGCTGTAGTAGCTGCATGCTGCAGCGTCCTATGAAATGAATTAATAAATTCGTTTGACAAATTAAATAATTCACCTAAGCAGGTGAATGTCAGTGATTTGAGATTTGTGTGTTTGAATATGCAGGGGGTCCCGTGCGTCACACATACTTCAGGGCAGGCAGACTCACGGAGTCATATAACTCGTGTTACGCCTTAACATGAGTCATTATTCCTACAGCTGAACCATCGCTACGTATACGAATCTTGAAGTTCAGTTATCTTGGATGATTCTTTGTCTGGCAATGTCTGTCTATGACAAAAGCGACATCTGGTATGTTGAATTTCTCACTGTGCTATCTAAAGTATATTATAAAGTACAAATACTTCATCAAACGATGATTAATTAAAATTGATGTAGTTAACTTCATTGTCGCGCTTAGCTTGTGAATGTATTACTATAACTAAGCGATTTTCGCTTCATAGTATTTATTGGTGCCGTGGGTTGCAAATGTAAAGGTCCATATGGACACACCGGACGCGATTCAACAACGCGACGCGATTTTTCGATTTTCACTGACCGATAACTTTGATCCTAGTTATAATTTTCCAAATATTTGAAAGCGCTATAACATTTTGAGTTATTTGGTCTACATATCTTTCAAATTTTCCTCTCATTGGCTATTTTATTAACTTTCAAAAGCTAAAAAATCGCGTCGCGTTGTCAAATCGCGTCCGTTGTGTCTGGGACTGTAAGCGTAAAATACGGCGCAACTGATAGTGGTCATGCTTTAGGAATATTCGGAGTTACTGTTCTTTTGTATTTTATAAAAATACTGAGTGGTTAATTTAGGAATGTTGTCTTCATGAATGTATGCGTGCGGTCGGTCCATTGTCATTCATTTATATGGAATACAAAAGTAATACTTCTTCTAAAGTTAACTTCATTGTTGCTCTTAGCTTGTGAATGTATTACTAAGCTATTTTCGCTTCATAGTATTTAGTGGTGCCGTGGGTTGCAATTGTAAGCGTAAAATACTGCGCAACTGATGGTGGGCATGCTGTAGGAATGTTGTCTTCAGACTTCATGATTGTATGCGTGCGGTCCATTGTCATTATTCATTTATATGGAATACAAAAAGTAATGCTATAAATTTTGCCATCATCAGAACTCAGCAGAGGCCAATGTTCAAAATTCTTGCAGTATTCACTACAACAAACATTTATATCAATAGCCATTAGCCCTTAAAAACTGAAACGAAAATGAATGGACAAAATTTTATGAATAATTCACACGGTGCCATGCATACTTCCATATTCAAAAGATCAAGATTTAATATCAATAATGATTGTAAGGAGACATCAATTTAAATCTTTTCCTGTACAATCCTAAAATGATTAAAAACAACTGACCTGTATTGTACTGAATTGTATTAAATTTACCATGCGATTATAACGAATCAAACGCACATCCAATGCCACACTTATGTCAACAGTTTTGAATAGTTATGATTTTCTGTTAATTTGGGGAGCAATGCGTGCTGTTGTACTGAACGAGGAATATACAGAATCGTTCTAAAATATCTATACAGACGAGTGAATAAAACCTTCATATGAAAACTTTTCATAGACATCTTGGTTGCATGTCGGTAACTACTTTCTTGTTCGTATTCTACACGCCCTATATTTTATGCTTATCTGTTCGTTTTCGGTTTCAACTGTCTGAAATCCATATATGGTTTAAAACCGAGACACACCGGATGCGATTCGAGAACGCGGCGCGATTTTCAGGCTTTGAAAGTTAATAAAACAGCCAATGAAAGGAAATTTTAAACGATATGTAGAGCAAATAACTTGAGAAATCGCGGCGCCTTATCGAATGGCGTCGGGTATAGTTAGTTTAATTATGTACTGTACTTCTGGTGGCGTGATCACCACAATAAATGAACAACAAAGATCTAAGACCTCGAAAACAAAGAGTACGAAAGCTAAGACCTCTTAATTCTATGATGATTATAAATTTCTCGATCTCATGTGCTAGGCAATAATATGTTTATTATCATTGCCAATGGAGCTGGAATGTCAAGTGAGCAAGTGTTGACATACTATCTACATCCGCTCATTGCAATGGTTTTGGCACAAACAACTAAATTGCGCAACAGTCTGCGTACTTTTACATTATGATATTTAAATATTTTGCGCTCTCACGAAGCATAGTGCGTCTTATGCACTGATCTAATATTAGATCAGTGGTCTTATGAAATGAATTAATCAATTCGTCTGATAAATTATATTCACCCTAGCCATGTGAACATCAGTGATTCGTGTGTTCGAATATCCGGGGGGTCCCGTGCGTCACACATACTTCAGGGCAGACGGAGTCCTGTTACGCCCTACCATCAGTCACTACAGCTGTTGAAGATTTTAGAGATTTTATTGACACCGAGATATATGTTGGAACAAAGTATTATAATTATTGAATCAGAAATCAAACCGCCAAGTTTGGAAATAGGCACATTTCATGTCTTTTGCGGGTATCATTGCTTTCGGAAATGGGAGAGAGGGCTCAAATCTTCATATCTGAAACACTGTGATTGCCACTAGTACTATTAAAATGCCATGACTCCATGCTGATGCTTACCAAACCTTGTCCTCAAAAATCTTCCTGTTTCCCTGCTCTAAAGCATGCCACATTCGCTGCATGAGATGCACTAGCAGAATCCAACTCACAGGTTTTACATTAAATTGGGGCCCCCTACAAGGAAACATGCAATTCTATGGCTACGAATCCTGTGGTAGGGAGTAGGCATTGGCGCAGTCGTCTGATTCCGGTGCAGTGCTCTAACCAAGTGAGCTACAGAGGGCAGTTGTCAAGCTCTAACCAGAAGTTCATGTATATATACGAGCTAGGGTACTGCCATGTATAGGTTATGGGTAAATATCAAGATTTTTTTGTTGGCGTCTCACTCGATTGAATAATATTTGATGAGTATTGTAGATGGAAATTGTGGAGTGGAAATTTATACACAGCTATGGTTGGTACCTTCATGCACAAATAGAGACCTCTGTCAGCAGGAAAGTTGGGCGTAAATTAAGTTGCATTTTTTTGCAGCTGTTCCACATGGTTAGGTCTAATAATTTTAGTATATAAATTTCCACTCCACAATTTCCATCTATAATACAATCAAATATTATTCAATCAATTAACTGAGATGCCAACAAAAAATCTTGATACTTGATTAGTAACATATTTGCAGCGAAGCAGTGAAGTGTAAATTGAGTTTATTCATTCATCTGCATACCTATAGGTATTCATAGATTAGATCCAGACTGTATCAGGCCTCGAATTTCCCTGAAAATAATCGACGGCAATGCCAATGGCGTTAAAAATTGCTGTAGAACGTAACAGCTGTATGTCTACGGCAATTTTGGCAGTTTCCACGGCATTTTTCAAATTACAGTAACAAAATTTTAATTTTATTGTTACTTTGGATTTTTGACAAGCTAGAAACATGTCTACGTATTTCTTTAGTGTTTTTTTTTTCGAAGAAAACTGGGACTAAAATAGTGATTTACGCATGATTTGATGAACATCTGAATTCAAGTGTCAAAGTAGTAATGCACAGTGAATAGTATAAAAATTGCATTATACGGCAAAAAATTGCCGTCGTTGCCGCAATGATCCACGGCATTACTACGGCAATTGCCGCGATAAAGTTCGACTAATTCGGCTAGCCCTGGAGTCGTATCTCTAGAATCTCTTTCTGATGTTTAACCATTAGGATTCAGAACCTAATGTATGCGCACCCAACTGTGTTATTTTATTTCATCAATGATTCCAGAGAATTTTACTTTCTAAGGGGAGGTGTTGGGCATTAATGATTGACTTGGTTCAGTCCATATCTCTTGTTAATTAAGCCACATTGTGCCCATTTTATTCAGCCTGTGTGTCTAAATGCAAACGATATAGGCATATTAGGTACCTTTAAGTTTTTATTTTACTCTGTCTAACGCCATATTATTTTACTCGATATTACGGATTTCTAATTTTTTCATGGAGAATAATTAAGCTTCAAGGACGTTTGCAAAGTGAGGGGGAGTGTCATTGAAAATGTTGTATTGTGCGCGCATTCTCGTTAATAGATTATTTGTATGCTACAATAATGTACATAAAGAAACTTGTATTAAATTTACCATGCGATTATAACGAATCAAACCCACATTCAATGCCACACTTATGTCAACAGTTTTGAATAGTTATGATTTGCTGTTAATTTGGCGAGCAATGCGTGCTGTTGTGCTGAACGAGAAATATACAGAATCGTTCTAAAATATCTGTGCGAGTTGTGTACTTGAATAAATAGAAATTGCTTCGAAGATAAGACTAAATCCATTATGAAAAGTCAAAGTCACCTGACTCACCAAAATCAAAGCGCAATATCTCACCTATATGAATCTATGCGTATATCTTCGGAAAGTTTGGTATATAACGAGAAATGGGGATTTTAATGAAAAATTGCATTGTTTTTATAGCGCATTTGTGTTAGCCCCAGTGACCTTGAGATATTTAATACTTGCAACCACAATTAGCCATGCTGAAAAATACAGGTATTGGAACAGTGTGTCATTTGCACTGTTTCGTAGGGAAAGGATAAACATGCATGAGGAGCTTTTAAATTTTACTTTCAGGAGTTTTAAAATCTTACTTTTAGTTAGGTCGAAATTTTGCTAAAGTTGTTAGCGTTACGGTAGCACGTCCTTGCGATAGTAACTTCCAGTAGTATGTTTAATTATGTACGGCAACAACAAATGAACAAAGATCTAAGAGCTCGAAAACAAAGACAAAGAAAGCTGAGGCCAGGGTCAAACGTCGAACTTTTCATGCGCCGAACCTAATGCAAATGAAGTGAAACAAAGAACTTAGCTCATTAACATTAGGTTCGGCGCATGAAAAGTTCGCCCCTGGCCTGAGACCTCCTAATTCTATGAGCCATAGTAGCTGCATGCTGCGTCCTATGAAATGAATTAATAAATTCGTTTGACAAATTAAATAATTCACCTAAGCAGGTGAATGTCAGTGATTTGAGATTTGTGTATTTGAATATGCAGGGGGTCCCGTGCATCACACATACTTCAGGGCAGACGGACTCACGGAGTCATATAACTCATGTTACGCCTTAACATGAGTCATTATTCCTACAGCTGAACCGTCGCTACGTATAGGAATCTTGAAGTTCAGTTATCTTGGGTGATTCTTTGTCTGGCAATGTCTGTCTATGACAAAAGCGACATCTGGTATGTTGAATTTCTCACTGTGCTATCTAAAGTATGTTATAAAGTACAAATACTTCATCAAACGATGATTAATTAAAATTGATGTAGTTAACTTCATTGTCACGCTTCGCTTGTGAATGTATTACTAAGCGATTTTCGCTTCATAGTATTTATTGGTGCCGTGGGTTGCAAATGTAAAGGTCCATACACACCGGACGCGATTCGACAACGCGACGCGATTTTTCGATTTTCACTGACCGATAACTTTGATCCTAGTTAAAATTTTCCAAATATTTGAAAGCGCTATAACATTTTGAGTTATTTGGTCTACATATCTTTCAAAATTTCCTCTCATTGGCTATTTTATTGACTTTCAAAAACTAAAAAATCGCGTCGCGTTGTCGAATCGCGTCCGTTGTGTCTGGACTGTAAGCGTAAAATACTGGGCAACTGATAGTGGTCATGCTTTAGGAATATTCGAAGTTACTGTTCTTTTGTATTTTATAAAAATATTGAGTGGTTCCCGTAATTTAGGAATGTTGTCTTCATGAATGTATGCGCACGGTCGGTCCATTGTCATTCATTTATATGGAATACAAAAGTAATACTTCTTCTAAAGTTAACTTCATTGTTGCGCTTAGCTTGTGAATGTATTACTAAGGGATTTTCGCTTCATAGTATTTATTGGTGCCGTGGGTTGCAAATGTAAAGGTCCATATGGACACACCGGACGCGATTCAACAACGCGACGCGATTTTTCGATTTTCACTGACCGATAACTTTGATCCTAGTTAAAATTTTCCAAATATTTGAAAGCGCTATAACATTTTGAGTTATTTGGTCTACATATCTTTCAAAATTTCCTCTCATTGGCTATTTTATTGACTTTCAAAAACTAAAAAATCGCGTCGCGTTGTCGAATCGCGTCCGTTGTGTCTGGACTGTAAGCGTAAAATACTGGGCAACTGATAGTGGTCATGCTTTAGGAATATTCGAAGTTACTGTTCTTTTGTATTTTATAAAAATATTGAGTGGTTCCCGTAATTTAGGAATGTTGTCTTCATGAATGTATGCGCACGGTCGGTCCATTGTCATTCATTTATATGGAATACAAAAGTAATACTTCTTCTAAAGTTAACTTCATTGTTGCGCTTAGCTTGTGAATGTATTACTAAGGGATTTTCGCTTCATAGTATTTATTGGTGCCGTGGGTTGCAAATGTAAAGGTCCATATGGACACACCGGACGCGATTCAACAACGCGACGCGATTTTTCGATTTTCACTGACCGATAACTTTGATCCTAGTTAAAATTTTCCAAATATTTGAAAGCGCTATAACATTTTGAGTTATTTGGTCTACATATCTTTCAAAATTTCCTCTCATTGGCTATTTTATTAACTTTCAAAAACTAAAAAATCGCGTCGCGTTGTCGAATCGCGTCCGTTGTGTCTGGACTGTAAGCGTAAAATACGGCGCAACTGATAGTGGTCATGCTTTAGGAATGTTGTCTTCATGATTGTATGCGTGCGGTCGGTGCATTGTCATTATTCATTTATATGGAATACAAAAAGTGATGCTGTAAATTTTGCCATCAGAACTCAGGAGAGGCCAATTAATGTTCAAAATTCTTACAGTATTCACTACAACCAACATTTATATGAATAGCCATTAGCCCGTAACCTTAAAAACATACATGCAACGGAAAAGAATGGACAAAATTTTATGAACAATTCACACGGTGCCATGCATATTTTCATATTCAAAAGATCAGGATTTAATATCAATAATGGTTGTAAGGAGACATCAATTTAAATCTTTTCCTGTACAATTCTAAAATGATTAAAAATAACTGAGAAGAGCTAGTATGCTAGCTTTTGAACAAGTAAACTGGTCGTAGAAGAATTTCGCAAAATTTCCTATGGCTATACAGACGAGTGAATAAGACCTTCATATGAAAACTTTTCATAGAAATCTTGCTTGCATGTCGGTAACCACTTTCTTGTTCGTATTCTACACGCCCCTATATTTTATGCTTATCTGTTCGTTTTCGGTTTCAACTGTCTGATATCCATATATGGTTTAAAACCGAGACACACCGGATGCGATTGGAGAACGCGGCGCGTTTTTCAGGTTTTGAAAGTTAATAAAACAGCCAATGAAAGGAAATTTTAAAAGATATGTAGAGCAAATAACTTAAATATTTGGAAAACTTGAAGCAGGATCAAAGTTATCGGTCAGTAAAAATTGAGAAATCGCGGCGCCTTATCGAATCGCGTCGGGTATAGTAACTTTTCACGTATGTCGAAGCGGGCTGTGTCACCACCCATCGTTTGGTTCAGGAACTAGTATGGGAAAATCTTGATCCGAAATCGAAAGTAGAGAGTTTCATTGATGCTGCGCGGATGCTTTCTTACGCATTCTCTAAATGTCCTTCACCCGGTAATCATGTTAGTTTAGATGAAAGGAATTATGAAGAACATGACATACCTTTCTCTGATTTTCCTAATAGTCCTTCTCATTTTTATATGTGGTCTAAATTTTGTATGCATGGCCATCATCTTCGCAGAAATGTCGAGGATTTGTTGGTAAATCTCGACTCTGTTTGTCTAGACTCGGTGTGGTTTCCTGAAACAGCTAAAATTCTTTACGAATGTGCTGTTCATTTGAGTGCAAACCACCAGCAGGAAGAAGCAAAGCGCACTTTGAACTTTGCTTATCGTATATTAGACTGGCTGCCTTTAGCAGGGTATGAGATGACTGAAGATTACAATAAACCTTTCGATCCCTTGTTGCTTACTAGTCGTTCAATGGTTTTCATAAAATTGGAGCAATGGGAAAATGCTTTAAAAGATGCGAATGATTACATAACCCGCTGTCCATATTGCTGGAGGGGTTATGCTTTGAAAGCTCTGGCACTTGATGGCTTGAATAAGGAAGTCACTGCTGACCTGAATGATAAAGCCAGTGCTGAAATAGCAGCTGCTTTAGCTTTTTATTACAATAAGAATATTTTCGCTAACTTCCTTCCTTTTGCAGAATCTTTTGTGGACTTGCAAAGCCGCATTTTTATATGTGATTGTTTGGATGAACTGTTAGATGCGATGTTTTCACAGGAAGTAGAAACGGATTTTTTGAAGATCTTGGTTTTGGGATCAGAAGAATATATTTTAAATTCTGAAACCGTTGGAAAACCTTGGAACAACTGTATTCTAGTTGGTACGGGGAAAAATTGTTCTGTGTCTTTGAAGTCAAACTATGACATTTCCTTGTTGAAATGCATGCTTACAAATTTGTCATTCAGTTTTAATAAATGTCAGTTGTATTGTTTACGTGATTCGTTTGTCAAGATCCTTAACTGTAACTTTAGTTCGAATGATGATTTTGAAACTATAAAAACTGAGGGGGTGTTCAATGCAGAACGATGCAGTTTTACAAGAAGTCCACTGCTATGTGGTAAACAAAGTCGTGCAGTTGTTCATGATTGTTCGTTTTGTAACAATGCGAGAAGTGGGTTATGTGTGACGTATGGAGGGACGTTGAAAATGGAAACCAGTCGCATCTATAATAATGGCGGTCATGGGTTGTTCGTTAAAGAATCAGAGTGTGCTGCAGTTAATTGTGATATTCACGGGAATGGTAGGAATGGGGTCGATCTCCGCGATTCAAAAAATGTCACGCTGATACGTAATAATGTTTATAAGAATAATAAGACTGGAATATATATAGCAGCTTCTCTGGCGCATGTCAGAGAGAACAACTTGTTTGATAACGGCATGTGGGGAATTTTGGCCCAGATGATTCCATGGTGCAAAATATCGATGAATAAAATTTTTCGCAACAAAACTGGGGGAGTTAGTATGCAATTTGAGCCTGAAAGGAAAATGTTTTCTCCACCTGTTGTCGAACTGAATGAAGTTTGTCATAATTGTGGTCCAGGACTTATGGTAAATTTCGAAACTATTAAAGTCGCAGAATCGGGGTATTTGAATTCTCCCAGTTCCTTTCAATCGGCCAAATTCCAGAATAACGAAGTGCACCATAACAAAGAAAATGAAAATGATAGTAAGTTGAATTTGTCCATCCCATATTGCTCGTATTGTCGTGTGAATTGCAAACCGAAAATGTGCGAAAAGTGCTTCACCACTGCGTATTGCAGCGAATCTTGCCAGGAAAACCATTATTCGAAGCATAAGAACATTTGCAAAGTTTTACGTGAGAAGTCAAGCTATTTGATCACTTCCGCGGTAGAGGCTCACGAGGCCGATATACAACTTTGCGATCGAAAAGTATATTTAGATCCTGGCGAATTTGGTCCAAAGCTCGCTTCCCCTCCACGAGATGACATGAGGTTTGTTGTAAAAGTTCACAATGCATATAATTCTTGGGTTCAGGGGTGGTACGGTATGGTTCTGCACGACCGTAATCGTGAAATTAGCGTGGGATTTGATTCCAAAGTTATTGAACAACTTCTAGAAGAGTTTGGTGTGCTATGCAGACATAACGATATTGAGAAAAAGCTTTTCTTTCACTGCCTTTTTGAAGACAACGGTCAACTTCGACTATTCACGAATGAGTTTGCTGAATTTCAAAACTGGTGAAACCATATAAATTCAGTATACTGCAAGGTAGGTGAAAGACTGGCTACTCGAACGTTTTAACAATGGAAACATTCAGTCTATCAGACTTTCCCAAGGGAAATGAGTTTCTTCAAATAATTACAAAAGCATTGCCGCCTGACAGGAAAATTAACATCACGAAGAAACAGTGGTCCACGAACTTAATTCAACATCACCTTTTCTTCACTTGTGGCTAGATCCAGTTCCAATGGGACTTTGAAAGGTCGCATTACGTAATGTAATGTAAATGCTGTAAATATATCTTACAATTGTAAAGACGATTTACAACTTAGACAGAATTTTGGATATACTGTAGAATGAAATTAAAGACATATCACATGAATAAGTGTGAATCGTGGAAACGAAACCTACAATCGCGTGCAAAAATTGTTGAGACAAGCAGTTTATTTGCCCTCTCCCTCCTGTAACAATTAGTCTAGGACCTGTATATGAGTTTGTATGCATTTCATTTACCACAGGTAATCTCAACTGTTTTAGGGTAAAATGACCATGGCGGTCAACATGGCATATGTGCCAAAACCTGAATCCTGGACGAAAGTCCTGAAAATGACCC